ATTCACTGTGCCTGCACGAACTCTTCAAACAAGCATTTCATAACAATCTTGACAGCTGCTACAGAATATCAAGATTGTCCTCCCAGCTAAGACTCTGAGCATAGATGCAATGGACAATGAAGTGTTCTACCTCAGTGTGTTACCTAATTAATATTCACCAAATAGAGGAATCTTATTGCTGTGCTTATTTATTTTCCCAGCTTTGGACATTTCTGGAATATTCAAATTAATCTCTACCATAACATTAAATCAACGGTACCAGCAGAATTATAGTTATATGGTTAAAAATCATGTAATTTAATAAATTCTATCAACATCACACTGAATCTTCACTTCTCAGTGTATAATACAAGGAACTTCAGTAAAATCCCGTAGTTTATCAAATGTAAATACATTTTCACGACAAAGAAGTAGCAGATTTCAACTTTTTACGTTTCACTTGCTAACACAACATGGTCAGTCTATATGTATTTGCGGTAATACATTTAATGTCGCATATTAATATTTTACTGTCCAATTTTGCTTCCTTGTTGGAACTTCACAGTGTGGTTCAGACTGTTTCCCAACACAACCTCACCTTAATTTAGTCAAAAGACCGGGCAATTGTATCAGATTTATTTTTGTATAGCAGTTTGGATTTAATTTTACCCAATTTAAATCTCTTTCATTGCAGGTATTGCAGTCAACATCACTTGGGTACAGTAAAGTTGAAAGCATGTAGAATTTATGAAGCAAATACTGAAAAATTACAATCGTAAGCAAACCATAGGCTCTTAGGGGCAAACAGGAACTGACTAACCTTTTATCAGCAAGTAACGGGAAATATTTGCTTACTCAAACACAAATGCACAATTATTCAAAGGGCAATTTTAATGAAATATTAGATCTATTTCAGGAAAATGCTCCACTTGGGTGCTTTTGCAGTGTTCTATCTATATCTGTTCGTTTTCTTAAATTCTCAACAACTTTGTAACAGCAGATTTGATTCATTAGTGATTGCAATGAGCCATCACCTTGCACACAAGAGAAATAATATGTTGAAAAGTAAAAGGTAAATGCAGAGCTAAACTGGTTTAAATCCTGGTGATGTGAACATTGGTTATTCTTAATTGTACAGCATGAACTGTTAAAGGTTGTTGTGTCAAAATCTGAATGATGTTACTGCTTCAATTTTACACATTTTTTTTTGAAGTAATGTGATCATTGAACTTTAACAAGCTTGTAATCTGGTTACAAATACTTTTAATACCGAAGGAATGAAGACAGAAATTGTTAGAAAAAAATCAGGTGGGGGGTGGGTTCAGTTGCATGGAAAATTATGGAAAATATTAAGGCGGGCCGGGGTTATTACATTTTTCAGAAAAAGTAAGAGGACAGAGAGTTTGGAAAAGGTGAAGAATTTAACTTCAGGCACAGCAGATGAGGGGACAACTATGAGAAGGGGTCAGTCAATGCAGGACTGAGGGCGTTGTACTTAAATGCATGCAGTATATGAAACAAGGTAATTGAGCTTGTAGTGAAGATTGAAATCGGCACGTATGATGTGGGTGTCACAGAAGTGGCTGCAAGGGGATCAGGGCTAGGAACTAAATATCCAAGGATTCGCATCCTATCAGAAGGACAGGCGGATGGGCGGAGGAGACGATGTTGCCTTGTTAGTAAGAAACAAAATTAAATCAATAGCAAGGAGTGATATAAAGTTGGAAGGCGTAGAATCTGTGTGGGCAGAGTTAAGGAACTGCAAAGTAAAGAAGTCTCCGATGGGAGATGTGTTCAAGCCCCCTAGCAGTAGTCAGTATGTGGGGAAGAAAATAAATCAGGAGATAGAACAGGCATGTAAGAAAGGCACCAGTACAATAATCATAGGGGACTTCAATATGCAGGTGGACTGGGAAAATCAGGTTGGCAGCACATCTGAAGGTAACAGTCAATTCTGGATTTGGTGTATGTAATGAGGCAAATTGGATTAGGGAGCTTAAGGTGAAGGAATCCCTATGGGTCAGTGAATATAACATGATAGAATTCACCCTGCAGTTTGAGGGAGAAGCTGGAGTCAGATGTAACAGTATTACAATTGAGTAAAAGTAACTACAAAGACATGATGGAGGAGCTGGCCAGAATTGATCGGAAAGGAAGCCCAGCAGGGAAGACTGTGGAGCAGCAATGGCAGGGGTTTCTAGGGATTATTTGGGAGGCGTTAGCAGATATTCATCCCAAGGAAGAAGAAGCATACTAAAGGGAGGATGAGGCAACCATGGCTGACAAGGGAAGTCAGGAGCAGCATAAAAGCAAAAGCAAAAACATACAATGCGGTGAAGTTTATTGGGATACCAAAGGATTCGGAAGCCTTTAAAAACTAGCAGAGGACAATTTAAAAAGCAATAGGAAGAAGAAAATGAAAATTGGAGTAAGCTCGCTAGTAATATAAATGAAGATTGCAAGAATCTAAAAAGGTAAGACAAAGGCAAAACTGGGCATTGGACTGCTGGAAAATGAGGCTGGAGAAGTAGAGATGGGGAATAAAGAAATGGCAGTGGAACTGAATGGGTACTTTGGATTAGTTTCACAGTGGAAGATACCAACAGCACTCCAGAACTTCAAGAGAGTTGGGGATAGAGATGAATGTACTGGCTATCACTCAGGAGAAGGTACTGGGAAGCTGAAAGGACTGAACTTGGATAAATCACCTGGACCACATGGACTATGTATCAGGGTTCCGAAGGCAATACCTGAGGAGGCTGTAGAGGCATTGGTGGCAATCTTTCAGGTAACAAGAGAGTCAGGGAGGGTCCCAGAGAACTGGAAAATAGCTAAGGGAACACCCCTATTTAAGAAGGGCGGGAGTCAGGAAACTATATGCTGGCTAGCCAGACCTTGGTCATTGGTAAGATTTTTATAATTCATTATTAAGGATGAGATTAAGGAGTGTTTAGAAGTGCATGCTAAAATAGGACTGAGTCAGCATAGCTTTGTCAGGGGGAAGCCATATCTGACAAATCTGTTAGAATTCTTTGACAAGGTAATGAGCAAATTAGACTAAGGAAAGCCAGTGGACCAGATCTATTTGGATTTCCAGAGGGCCTCTGACAAAGTAATACACAGGAAGCTGCTGAATTAGAGTCCACAGTGTTAGGGGCAAGGTACTGGGAAGGATAGAGGATTGGCTGACTGGAAGAAAGTAGGCATAAAGGGGTCTTTTTCACAATTGCAACCAGCGACTACTGCAGTTCCAAAGGGATGTGTACTGGACCACACCATTCACATTATCCATTGACGATCTGGACAAAGAAACTGAGAACATTGTTGTTAAGTTTGCATATGACACAAAGATAGGGGGAGGGACAGGTAGTGTTGAGGAAGCAGGGAGGCATCAGAAGAACATGGACAAGCTAAGAGAATGGGTCAAGAAGTGGCAGATGGAATATAACGTGGGAAAGTGTGAGGTTATTTACCTTGTAAGGGATAATCAAGGCGTAGACTATTTTCTAAATGGCGAGAGGCTTTAGAAATCTGAAGCACAAAGGGACTTGGGAATCCTACTTCAGGATTCTCTCAAGGTCAACATGGGGTTTCAATTGGCAGTTAGGAAGGCAAATGCAATGGTAGCATTCATTCCCAGTTGGTTAGAAAACAAGACCAGAGATGTACTGCTGAGGCTGTATAAGCCTTGGTCAGACCACATTTGGAATATTGTGAGCATATTATTGTTTTGGGTCCCATATCTAAGCAAGGATATGCTGGCACTGGAGGAAGTCCAGAGGAAGTTTACAAGAATAATCCCAAGGTTGAAGGGCTTGGGGTTGAGGGTCTGGGTCTGTACTCCCAGATTAGAAGGATGAGAGGCAATCTGATTGAAACAGAGTACCGAGACGTCTGGATGGAATGGATATGGAGAAGATGTTTCCACTCGTAGGAGAATCTAGGACCCAAGGGCACAGCCTCAGAGTGAAGGTATGACCATTTAGAACTGAGATGAGAAGGAATTTCTCCAGACAGAAGGCGACTAATCTGTGGAACTCACTGCCACAGAGGACTGTGAAGGCCAAGTGATTGAGTGTAGCTAAAACAGAGATGAGTGCTTGGTTAGTAAGGGGCCCAAGGGTTACTGGGAGATGGCAGGAGAACAGGGTTGGGAAACATATTAGCCACGATCAAATGGTGGAGCATGAATGATGGACCAAATAGCCTAATTCTGCTCCTTTTTCTTATGGACTTAGGCGAGGCATCATCTATGATGAAGGAAACAATGAACTTTATATAATTTCTTATACCTCCTGTGGATGTCTGTTTGAAAACAAAACTGCTCTCAAGCCATATTTAGCTATGGTTAGGGCGGATAAGGAGGAATAATTTAACCAATCAGGATTTATGTATTGAGCTATACAGAACAAGGTGACTGCTGTTTTGATTTTGGCTTAGCTATAATCTCTGACATTCCACCTCTCGTGAAACTGCTGCAGAAAAGAAGACGAGAGCCGTTGGATTCACAAAGTAGGCATCTTTCCACTTCCCTGCTGCTGGATCCCACTACCTGCTTAGCCCATACCCCAAAGCTTCCAATTACATCTAATAGGCTCGCTATATCCCCTCAATTCTTCAGATCTCATTCTTGAAACATCCAGTCTCTCTACCAGCCCTTCTAGCTTGCCCAGTATTTCAATGCCTCCTTCCTCCTCTTTTATATTGTTCTCCCAAACTGAACATGGAGCTGAAGGCGGTCTACCTGACAGCCAACTCCCTGTGTTAATCAGGTCCTGCCATTGGATGGGTCATGAGGAATACCCATTTTCTTGTTTTTATTTACCTCAAAGAAAGTGCTTTGCTCCTTCCTGCTTCCAAAGGAATATTCAGCCTAGTATTTTACAGAATTACGATGAAACAATATAAATTTATTATACATCCATTTTAATGAAAAATTTGAGCACTGATAAAACCTTGAAGTAATAAACAGTATTACTTTGCACAGACAAATTAAACATTCCAATTAAGAATGCAGAAACTAATTTCAATGCATCCAAAAGTTCTGAGACAACTTTATTCATGATGAATGATACACTATAAATTATACTCCAAAGGTACCAGTCATCATTTACAAAATCAGTCACCAGGCCAAGAAAGACTGGTGTCTATTTACCTGAACCTCATCTTATTTTTTTTAGTTTCCATAACAATTTCAAACTCTACGTAATCCAAATTTGGTGCTCATTTGTATCTTCAAATCTTCCAATCTTCAAAGACAGGCATGAGAAAATGTGTTGAGTGAGCTGCAGAGATCTCACTTTCTGTACCAGGTCCAAGATAAACTTTCAATTTTAAATGCCTTTTCTGTAGATTAATCAATGGTAACATCTTCACTTTCAGTTACCACGGGTTCAAGGTGGCGATCGGATTTCTTCTTTCCTTTTCCTGTTGGGACTGCTCTCTTCTCTTTCTGCTCTGCATTACTGGAAGCTAGTTCATTACATTTCTCTGTAATGAAGTTCAGCTGGAAAAGCAATAAATCAAACTTTTAAACATTGACTAATGTGCTTTATGTAGGATCAAAGCACAATATGTTGCTATCAAGTCTGCTGGGAGCACAACGAACCATCTCTTGTATCTGGATTGCTATTTTGTGTGCATCACCATCAATTTTAAGGTTTCTAGTCAGTTTCTAGCTGGTCTATTCTCCAACCAAAGGTTTGATGTCATGAGTATCCAGGAGAGAGAAAACTTGGTCCTCACTATCATTTTACTCATGAAGCTGGTAGCCTTACCAACTAAATAAATAATCATACCACTAACTCTGCAATGGGAAGCAGTTTCCCATTGTATGGTAACGAGACTCAAAGACTGGGAATAAAAGCTAACATACGCTGATTAAGAAGGAGTGACAAGTGCTGTTCTGCAGGGATTTGTGCTGCACTGATGCCTCAACTTTCCACCATTTATACCAATGGCTTGGTTGAAGGGATGGAGAGTTGGACATGTAGATATACTTCATTAGTATAATAAAATTCTTTAAAGACATTTCAATTAAGCAAACCCTAATAGAGACATTAATGTACAACTGCTACATCAACACTTCAAATTATTCCGAGTAAGCCAGCATTAATAAATTGTCATTTTGTAATATATGGTGGTGCTGTTGCTGAGGGAAGGGACAAAATAAATTAAGGATCTGGTCATTGTGTTTGTGCACTCTGTCACTTGGTTTTGACAAGGAAACAAGGAAAGGATTTGGGCTCGTATTGTGGTCAATCTGTAGAAGTAACCAAGCAAAATGACATGACTGTTGAGGCATGGAAGAACAGACTCGGAACTGATCCTGTGAGCACTGGAAACATTAAAATATGATTAGTTGTACATGCTTAAAGTTCTGAAAGGCACCAATGATCTTAAAGCAAATCAGCAGTCTTGACTAAAAGCTTTTACTTCTGATCTAGGAAACACAGGTACACAACTGGAAATCATCAACTGATACAAAAAAATTGCCCACCTAATCCCCAAACAATGGACATGCATAACAGACTTCTAGCTAAATAACTTCAAATTAAAGTGACTGAAAGAAGTGCACGAGTGTGTGATTAAGAATAGATTTGGAAGTTCATCAGCGACAGTGGGTTTTGTATACCAGAGGGTGTTATTAATAATGACACAGAACAGAAAATCCCAACTGTTTGGGCTCTGGTAGTGCTGTGGTAAGTGTCCCAAACTGAAAGACTGATTAGAAAATTTATTTTAAAAAACAGCTGTTTGATCCCTGTGCTGAGTTAAGCCATTTTCAGTCATCGTTTGGGGATGCTGCATAAGGTTTCAGTCCCCAGGTGTCGAGGAATAAAGAATCAATGTTTCTTCTTTCACTGCTGCAGGTCAATGTCTGATCAGGATAATATCAGACTGGTGATGACCTCACAGATGCCTAGTCTTCAGCTGCTGGATAGGTTCGAAGTCTGCTCCCTTCATCATGGTGAATAATATGAGGGATGTGAAGATGGAACATGCCACATAATACAAGGTATGTGAAGATGGAACTCAGTCTCCACACGGACTGTGCAGTGGTCACTCTTACAGATGCATTTGCAGCAGGCAGATGGGCGAGGATGAGTTCAAGTACGTTTTTCATTCTTATTGGTTCCCTCACTGCCTGCTGCAGATCAAGGCTAGCAGCTATATCCTTTCAAGCTCAACCAGCTCAGGCAGTTGCGGTGCAGCTGAAGTTCTCACCCACAGTACATTAAGCACTCTCACTACTCAGTGCTTCATCCAAGTGTTGTTCAACATGGAGGTGCACAGATTCGTCAGCTGGTGAAGGAGCAGTATGTGGCAATCAGTAGGAGGTTTCTTTGACCTGATGCTATGACTCTTCAGGGAGTCTGGAGTCAACATTTATTGTATCAATACAGTGGGGAGCTGGAGGTACACAGCAGGTCAGGTAGCATCAGAGGAGCAAGAAAGTCAACATTTCAGGTCGGGACCCTTCATCAGGTTGACTTTCCTGCCCCTCTGATGCTGCCTGACCTGCTGTGTTCCTCCAGCTCCACACTGTACTGACTCTGGCTCCAGCATCTGCAGTTCTTGCTATCTCCGAGTGACTGGAAACCCATCATTGATTGTATCATGTATTTTCCTCTTGGCAATTTTTTTCAAGAAATATTTTAAAAACTGAATAAATCCATAACAGCATAATTTGCACATGCTATTTTACTACATGTTAATAGTCTGAATGCTCTTTCCTCAATGAGCATTCTATTAAGAACAGTGTTAAGAATTTAAACATTGCTAAAAGAAGATATGAAGTTGAAGCTTTTTGTCTTGTACTCATCAGGACTGGGACACAAAAATCTTTAGAAAGAAAACAACAATTTATAACAATTTAGCAAAGTAACCAAAAGCAGTCTATCAAAACTATCCTGCATGATATTGGCTACATTGATCAAATCATCACTCACAATATATTGTGTAAACTCAAAGCTACCACTTCAGGGCCTAACAAAAAAGGTGCTCAGTGTATCTCAGATTATTCCAGATGGAAAGGTGCCTTAAAAAATTTGACCAACATGGTCCAACAATCAGCACCTTCTCCTCGTGCTGTATAAATCGGTGTTTCTTGCAAAGTCTGATTTCTTGCATCATGGTCCTGATGAATGCAAGATGAAATGTTTCAACTTCATGCCTCTTTTTGGCATTGTTTATGCACTATTAAGCTTTAGAGTATTTTAAATTGTGAGGGCAAAATTGGAACACAATATCATGACAAATATAAAAGAAAGTGCAATTTCACCAGGGCTTTGCTCCTCCTTGCCAGAAGTTTCACATCATCTGTGTTGACAGTGGTGCGCTTTCCATGTCTGTTGAAAGAAATTAAAGTTTGCATTACTAATATTGAAATTACTTTGGGAAATGCACTGACTCTTCAGGAGAAATTGCATTTCTTAATATTTAATTTAAAAGACAGTTTCAGCATTTGAGGATGGAATTATCACTGATATAATAATACACAGGTCAGCCTAATGCTCCTGGGACACGGGTTCAAATCCCACCACGGTAGCTGTTGGAATTTTAAATTTCATTAATAAATCTGAAATACAAAGCTAGTCTCAATAATTGTGACAATGAAACTATTGTTAATTATATTATTTTATTTAGGGAAGGAAAACGGATATCATTATCTAGTCTGGCTTACATGCAACCACTGCAACATGGTTGATTGCCTTCTAAAAATGGACCAGCATACCACTCAGTTCATGGGCAATTAGGGATGGACAACAACCAGAGTAACATGCACATGCCAAAGAACAATATGGTGTAGGCCATCATATACACCTTGCCTCGAGCACATCTTCTAGGTTTCAGTGCTGTGCTTAGTGCTGCACTGCCCGTTCTCTCATTCTGAAGAGATGAAACCCTGGGATTCTGCATTGTTTCAGTAATTCAAATGGACCTGGTTACATACAAAGATGACCAAGTGGTCACTTCTGTACTACTAATAGTCAAGATCCAAATGGTAATAAGGCCCAAATGAAATTCTCATAATGCTTTACAAGATCAAGGTTAACAAGCTATTAATCAGTTTTATCAAAAACAAAGTTAAGTGAAAACCAAAAGAACTGTGGATGCTGAAAATCAGATGCAAAAACAGAAGTTGCAGAAAAGCTCAGCAGGTCTGGCAGCATCTGTAGAGAGAAATCAGAGTTAACGTTTTGGCTCTGGTCACCCTTCCTCAGAACTCTGAGTTATGAGGAAGGGTCACCAGACCAGAAACGTTAACTCTGATTTCTCTTCACAGATGCTGCCAGACCTGCTGAGCATTTCCAGCAACTTCTGTTTTGGTACAAAGTTAAGTGAGTTCCTTGGATATTCATTGGAAATGGATGCTCTCCAACACATCTCAGGCAATTTAATTGAACTCACAAGGAAAGAGAAAAGAGACATTTAATTCTGTTTTCTCAATCTCTCGTGCATGTTTTTTTGGAATTTAAAATAAGGCAAAATCAAACTCAATTTTTTGGCAAAAGGTGTCAGGAATAGATAAATCCCATGAGTGAGCCATATCTGCTGGTGATATCTTAAAAACATAAAAATAAAATTTACTTTTGCTTTAAATGATTATTGATGTGCCCTATCCACTTTCCCTAAAACTACCCAACAGTTTAGAGATGATTACATCATATTGCAGCTTCTTCGGAGAAGTCACAAGGATTGCTGATCAATGAACTGACATGAAACAGCAAATAAGATGCAGCACACTATAAAGAACCTTCTCTATACTTTTGTATAGTTCTTCACACATATTCCAGCTGGATTGTGCTTGATGCTGAAAATGGGAAATTTTCCAAATCAGAAACACTGACTTCAATCATTTAACAAAGGTCACCCAAAATCAGAAAAGAAAAATATTCCATACAGCTTCTACTTTTGCCAATATGCACAAAAATAGTCAAGAAATCTCAAAAATCTCAGTCTCAAATGATTGATCGCAAAGCTACACCTACACATTCACATGGAATAAGCTGAAGTGTTACATATGGAAACCTGTGAAGTTAAGTCAATTCAATTTCAGTCAAGAGGTCTAAAACACATCTGAATCTTACTTCAAACTCTTACAACTTATCTTGCTGAACAAATGTTTTTCTTCGGCTCATCAGTTTATCTCCATTCTAACGGTGCTTACGCCTATCTCATCAGGGATTTAACCATATCAAGAGATCCTTATATTGCCTTCTACACTGGAGAAGTATAACTTACTTTGCAAAAAGCTCAAGGTCCGCCGCAAAATTCTCTGGAAAGGAAAATGGAAAAGGTATTTAAAATAACTAATACCTAAAACGTTTATAGATCATGAACGACTACAGATCAAAACTCAACACAAACACTCATCAGTCATGGATCAAAAGACTGAAACTGCTTATATGAAGAAGCTAAAGATTAACAGTAAAATATTCCCAAATATCTCTTGCCTGCAATGACAGTCTCGCCAATTTCCGAGTTGGTGAAGATGATACCTCGCCAGGGAAGAACAGAGTGAAGTCAGGGCAGTAAGTGGATCCAAGCTATTCATAACCTCCCAACATACAAATTTCACTGGGCGAAGTAGGTTAAACTTGACCTGCAATGTCTAAATGAGACCCAAGACATAGCTTTCAGCTGCAAATGGTATAATAATGTTTATGAATACAATCCAAGCCAATTTCAGTCTGCTAATATCAGGCTCAAAAGACTATCAGCAGATTTCACTGTCCCTGTAACTCCAGAAGAACTTGGAAATATTTGTCTGTTTTCACATCTCAAAGTGCTTCACAGCCAATTAAGTACCTTTGGAGCACACTCACTGGAGTGAGGAACAGCAAAAGGATACATACAACTGTCCCCAGCAGTAACTACATCGTCACTTGTAGTGGTTTGGGAATATCTGCTGGACATGGATATGTCCTACCAGTGATCAGTAGGCTTACAACCTTCCTAAAACCTTCTTCCATGAAGAAATACAAAGAACAAATACACAAGGAAACACAACTGCAAATGTGCACACAGAGACAAAAACAGATATTGCTGGAAAAAACTCAGCAGGTCTGGCAGCATCTTTGGAGAGAAATAAGAGTTAACGTTTCAGGTCGATTGACCCTTCCTCAGATTTCTCCACACAGATGCTGCCAGACGTGCTGAGCTTTTCCAGCAACTTCTGTTTTTGTTTCTGATTTACGGCATCCACAGTTCTTTCAGTTTTACTTGTGCACACAGAGTCCAATAAGCCACAGTGACAGAAATGATAAGATAATCTTTATTTTGGTGGTGAAAAGATAAATATTGGACAGGATACCAACAAAAGTCCTCTTCTTTTTGTACAGATCTTTGAATCAGTCACAATTACCTGAAACAGCAATTCACCATTTCATCTGAGGGAGAACTCCTCTGACAACAAAGCTCTGAAGAGCCTCAAAGACAAACATTAAACACAAATGTCTAGGTACAGCACCAGTTATTAAATAGATTTGCTAAGTATTTGTATTAAACACAGAAAACTAAAGCAATTAATCTAAACAATAGAACAAAATCATTGACTTGGGTATATTTCTAACTTATTTTTCTTTAGAAGTTCACAACATCACAGGACAAAATCTGACACCTCAATGCAGTTTTGAGGGAATGTGCATTGACAATGGAACGAGTTAAACCCACATGTCACACTGTGAGCTTATATGATAATCCTAAATTGGTTGCATAATTTCTTGTGCATTCAAGGTTATCCAGCAAGTGTTGTCCATTTACAGAATCACATCTAATATTGGACACAGTGTTGTGTGTTTTGCAAGCGCAGGCTGGTTGGGTATGGTCAATATGTTGCTTGCTGCAAACATCTGAAAGGATGTGCTGTCTTATACAGTTGGCCAGTCTTTGGGATGTAGGGCCTACATACCTGGCATCACACTAGCATTGAAATTCCTATACCACATTACTCATTTGTTTAAAGACAGAACATCTTTTGACTTGATGGCAGCATCCTCTTAATAGGAAACGTCACTTGAGATGCTCCTGTATAATACTAGCTATCTACAAAACAGCTAGCTTCACCTGTGGCTCAAACTTTTGACATACCTTACAGTAATCTGAGGGAGACTGGACATTCAGGACCAACAATGACTGCCTTCCGGCTTTTCGTGACTTTGCACACTATACATTGAGAACCGAGGGTTTTCCACAACTGTCCATTGCAAACTTCTTTCACTGGTCAGTATACATGTTGGGATACCTACATCTGCATAAACTGTAAGATTGTTGTTATTGGCAACCCTCATAAATACAGCATAAACCATTTATTCACCCTGCAAACCCAACACCAAAACAGTGCACATTAAAGTCATCCTGTTGGATAATGATTACCCTGATCAGATCACATGCAAACTCAAAGGCCCCACGTCAGTCACTCTTGGTCCTGAATTCCCAGTCTCCCTCAGATTACTCTTAGGTATGTCAAAGGTTTGAGCCACAGGTGAAGCTAGCTGCTTTATAGATAAATAGTACTGTACAGTAACAACACAACTGGTGTTTGCCATTGATAGAATGTTACAGACTCTTGTTACAGACAGAAATAACATTTACTCGCACTGTGCCTGTCTCAATTCAACAAAATTGGTGACAGTCATTTGCTGGTACATTCTAAGGGCAATGCCCTGACTAATCATAGTCAACTGGTCTGGTTTAAAATTAAAACAAAGCCTAGCAGTTAACTGTCAATCTTAATGGACGCATTCTCCAGGGCAATGCCTCCATCAAAGTCGGCTTGCCAACCAATCAGCATTCTTCGCTTACGCACTATAAATGTTGGTTTTCCTGTTGAATTGGTATCCTTGAAAATTTTCCTGGTAAGCGCAAGACAAAAAAGTTCCAACAAAATACTTCTTTTTATTAGCAATACTCAAGCTTGTCATTCATTCACTCAGTAGTATTGATACTTTGAAGAATGTTACAACACAAACCAGAATTAATGAAAATAAAAGCTGAAAAGAAGATATGAATAAAACTAATTACAATCAAAACAAGTGAAACAATCTGTAGTACATCCATGTACTATATTACAGAATTACAGAAATACTGACCATGGATTGGAAAACACACATTGCACTGAATGGTTACATAATCTTTTAATTTACATATACTGATCTTCAATCTCAGAAAGGGCAAGATGGGAAGAAGAATTACAGTTAAGCCATTCCAGGTCAATGTCCCACATATATCACACCATTGGTTACATAGTGGCACCGGTAAAAGTCTATAAGGAGAAAGAGTCATCTATTGCTAGCGTAAAACTAGAACAGCGTGGTTGGTGCTTTCCTTTCTAACACACGAACTGAGAAATAATGCACTCGAAGATCCAGATAAGATTTTTCAGGATGCACAATTTCAAGATGTTCTCACACCACCATTATATAATGCCACATCCTTTAGAAATATAGCAACCTTTGTAACAGATGCAAAACAGAAAATTCATTACTATTTGCAAGCAACTGCATGACAGAACCTTTTCTAAAACTGCACATTTATTTGCAGCAGGAAGCAGGATATTGCTAAACAAGCAGTGTCGTTTCCCAGTTTGTGTTGTACTTGATTTGGGAGTGAGCTCATGAACACAAAGCAACTCGTAGTGGGAATCTTAGGTTTTGTTAATTTTAGTTACACACACTTCACACAGAACCTAAATGTCAGAATATTAATGCACATTTCACACACACAAGACATTTTTTGTTGCATGCATGTTGCAAAGTCTTGACCCCAATTCAGTATAATGCTCATCTAAAAACTGGATTCCTACAGAAACAAAACAAAAGTCTATTAGCTAGTACTTGTCAAAGAGTGTACCAAACTTTTAACAAGTTATTCGTTATTATCACCACCATGAAAATGTTACAACAGGTCAAACATTGGAGCTTGTAACACTGTCTGGTTTCAGATCTGGACAGTAACTCTAAGTAGGAAGCAAGAAATATGACAGCTGTGAAACAAAAAATGGCTGAGTAAATAGAAAAAAAAACAGACATTTCTAGGAGCCTAGCACCTTTGTTAGCATCACATATCACTGTTCCACACATTTCTCAATGCACTAAAATGGTTTACTTTTTATTTTAAGACCAGTATTTGAAAACACAATAATCCCAACCTATGCCTATTTACCAACATTGTTGTTGCAATTTACATTTACAAACACCTTTAACACAAGAAAAATATCCTAGGGGGTTTCAGAGGAACAATGACAAAAAAAATTAGATGTTGAGCCAGAAAACAACATTAAAAGAGATGGTCAAAAGCCTGGCCAAAGAAGTAGGTTCTGAATAGTGTTTTAAGTGAAGAAGAGGTCAAATGGCGGAGAGGTTGGAGATATTTCCAATCCTTAAGGTTTAGGGAATTGAAGGGATGGCCATAGTAGGAATTGAAGGGATGGCCATAGTAGGAGAGCAATTAAAATCAAAAATGATCAAGGAGCTAGAATTTGAGTAGAATACTTATCATGGAGGGTTGTCGGACTCAAAAATACTACAGAACAGGCGTCAAAACAATTTTTCCTTTTCAAGGGCTCCTGTCAACATTTTCTAAACAGCTGCTTTTTGATTGTCAGGGGCTACATTTTGGTTTTCAAGGATGACTGCTTCATTCCCATTAATTCCTTTATTAGAAAAACAATACTTTCCTTATTTGTGTTGGTATATAGGGTATTTTGACTTTCAAAAGCAGAATTAGAGGTTTTTTCAATATCCTCAATAATTATCCACTCGCCAATGAACATGAAGTCACAGGCCCATGAAAAGCATCATTTCCTAGACACACAATATTTAAATTGGTACACAATAAGAGGCATAAGGTTTTGTTCTAAATTTCAAAATAACAGACACAACTTCTACGCACAAAAAGTCATCATCGTAAACATATCTTCCCCAGACAGGCAAAGTCACAGCTAATGCATTTCCAGCATACATGCACAGTCCTGGAATACTTGACCAGCCCTACTCACTGTAGCTTGGATTTCAATCTCACATCTTAAATTTGACAATTGGCGGTGCTCATCGCAGTAGGATCCACCACATTTTCCAACTGCAGTAGCTTCGGAACTTATATACTCATTTGCAAGAAATTCGTTACTTCAGTGACTAAGTTTTCTTAGCTACTAGTTAGTTGAGTATTCTTTTGTTGACAGGTTGAAACGCTCTCCCTCATACGTCTCGCAGCCTCCTCCTCCCCACCTTGCACCTCACTTCTCTCTCTTCTTCTTAGCCCAATCACATCCTTCCT